TTTAGCTACTCTCTTCAATTATTTCTATATGTGCGTGCATGAGAAAATGAGAGATAGATTAAGGAAATAACACTTGAGCCGGAAAATAAATATCGCAAAACTTTCTACAAACCTAAGTTTTAAAGAGTATCTAAAAAGTTATAATATGCTTGCTCCCAAATTACACAATACAAGAAATTTGATTTAAAGAATTATTCTAAGAAATATTTTCATTTCCTGAATAATCAGGTATTAACCGCCGCAGCTACTGAAATGCTTGATAAAATAAATAATTCCTTGAATTTTACAGATTAAATAAATGCAGCTTAGTAAAACATTAAATGTAGATGTACCTCACTGATTTTTTGTTTTGTTTTCAAAAAACATCTACAGATCCAACCTTTAGGACACAATATATTAGAACTTCTTCAGGCGTGGTTTGGTGATCCGGTGAAAGTATTCTGAAAAACTCGAGAAAAAAAAATCCTTAAATGATTTATATATCTGAAGCGAAACTAAAGAATTAAGAATAAACTCAAAGAAATATCGAACAAGCAACGATGTATGTAAAAGAGGATGAAGCGCATTTGTGCGTTTCTAATCATTATCAGAAAGATGAAACCAAACATGAATCATAACTGGATCCGAAATCTGCTTTCCCATGATAAATCTCGCATCAGACTTAAAAATACAAAACCTTATCTGGAACAATAACCCGAAAAAATTTCAGCCTGCAGCAACATCTTCACGTGATGAAGAAGACCAGAAAGGAAAGAAAAGTGAAATATATGAAAAATTATATGCAGATTACTAGATGATTGGCTACACGAGCATAAAAAATATTTTGCTTCTTGGAGACTTTATAATTTCTAAAGAGTACATAAGTGTTGAAAAACATATAACCCCCCGCTAATAATTTATTTGTAACATAATGTTTTAAAATCATTATATTTAGCATCAGAAGAAATATATAACAATGGATTAATGAATTTTTTCCTATGTAAATGACTCAAAATTTCAACAAGTAGAATTAAAGACAAAAACGTCTATATTAAATCTTATACCTATTTTCAAACCCTATTTTTTTGCCAATCATGGAAAAAAAGCACAACGTTAACAGTGGTGGCAAACTAGTAGAACGTATACTTCCTCATCTTCCCTTGTTACACGTGGTACTAACAGAATCTGGAATTTTTGCGAAGCTTCACAAGAGATCAGTCTGTGTGTGATGTATGGGTGACGCCAACCAACAAGATGTATAGAGGGCGCTGGCTCTTAATCTGAAGGCGCCAAATGTTTTAGTTTCCAAGAGGGAGACCTACAGAGAGGTCATAGGGAAGGCTCGTGGGAGCCATTAATGAAACCGAAATTCACTTTTATTACTTTTATATATTTCAGTTATTAGTATTGTAGCTTAGTATTAGTTTTGTGTTTGTGAAATAAATGTTTAAAATACAAGAAGGCGGAGTTATTTCTCTATAATGCGGTGGATGAAATCACACTGAGGCTGCAAAGCCGTTTAACTTTTGCCAATCTAACAAGTCAAAGGTTTTGCTGCACTTGCCTTATGTTAATCCATATGGCTTGGAAACTGGTATTAAGAAGAAGTTATGGGCATTCCCCTTTCGAGAACTCAATCTCATTCCGGGTCCACTCCCCCTTTGGGCACGTCATGGTGGTTCAACCTCCACTATTACCCTCCAGGAGAGCAGCGCACCCCCTGGGGACGCACCCCAGGCAGCACCGGTCGTCTAATGCTCCTACCAGTCGCTTGGGCGAGCCCGTCGCAGCGGGACATTACCAGCGACCGGGGAAACCCCCGGGTTACTAGAACCACGCCGCGCTAGGACGTGCCAGACTCCGGGGCCGGCCAATAAGTGACCTTTCCCAGAGCCTTCAGAACCACCAAGTTCATAAATTTTATACCCCCGTGGCCGAGACTGCCTAGGTACAGATCCTAACCAGTAGCTTCGCAGAGTTCTCTACGTCGACCCCCGGGGGGGTATTAAGATAAGACTTCACATCTATCAGGTAATGGTGGAATATTCCTCCTTGCCGAAAATGTAAGTCTCCGTAGTAGTCTCTGACTGTGATACTGGCATTTTGTATACAGGGCCGGAACAAAATTTTATCCGCCCAGTGCAAACTCTGCGATTCAGAAACTGTACCGCCCGGTGCGGCTGCACTGACTCTGGACCCGGGAGTGTTTGCCTATTATTAATCCTAGTTTCCTGGAAACTAGTGCCTAGATATACGAACCATTATCTAAGTACAAGATCTCTTAGGTAATGATGTGGTGTTTCTTGGTGGAAATATAAACGTGATCTAATTGTGATATTACAATGGAAAAGTAAAGCTTAGTTTTTTGTTTATCAGATAATAATGTGGTGTACCTTATTGGTGGAAACGTAAATGCTCATCATGGTCATTGTCATCTAATTGTGACATCAGCATTCTGTATTTACTAATTCATCTACTTAAAAACCTGGTGCTTAAGAACGGCATTTATGTCTGTTATAGTATAGTAATGTAGTCAGAGCCGGATTAATAATTTTAGAGGCCTTAAGTACTTTAAAGATATGGCTTGCCCCCACATACATTTACGCCTGTTTTACTCCCCATTTCTTTCCTCTCGACCTTGTTTAGTTGCATTATACATCCCATGGCAAAATGCTTTGTGGGGCCTTTTTGTCTTGAGAGTTTCACTACCTTTTCGAAGTGTCCCCTTTCCTTGAGCACTTGCTTGTTTTGCCTAATGGTTGATCCAGCTGTAGACGTATTGTTTTTTCATGGTAATGTACATGTTCGTCATGATCCTAATCATCTAATTGTGATATACAATGCCGTACAGTGTTTCAATTGATATTAAACCACCAGCTGCAACACTGTACGGTAGAATACTAACACAGTTTTTTAAAGATTTATGGTGATTTTCTGATGGCGCAGAATATTTACTTATTAACTGTGTGAATCCGAGCATCATGTAGTTGTATGATATTAGAGATTTCTTTTAATGAATTTCATTTGCGTTTTTAAATTTTTTATGTTACTTGCGTACATGAATTTAAACTTAAAAACATTTGATATCAGCTGAATACATTTTTGTAAATTAACAATAAAGATAATGGAATTTAATGAAGAATGATCTCTCACAGATATTGAAATTGATAGGTTTGACTAACAATAAACTTAAACGTGTCAAAGAAAAAAATCTGAAAGGATTCAGATTTTAACATCGCATTTGAAGATTTGGTAAAGTATTTTATGCTATCGCTGAGCACTGCAGGTTACGATTCTGCTTTTGGACTCACTCCTGCTAACAGAATGTTTTTAGTCTTTTTAACTTTATTATTAAGCATCGTTTTCTTCGCACTTAGCCCACAGAAAATTAAAGAAAAATATCATAAAAGAATTAAAAATAGCATTTCTTAGAATTTCCGATAGTGTTAAGTTTGCCATACATTTTTCGCTTTATATTTTCTACCTTATTTCTTTGAAAACTAGCCGCACAAAAGTGTTATCACAAAAGAGTGAAAAGTATTTAATGATTTTAATGAGTCCAGCTTGTGTCATTTCATAAAAATATTTAACATTTCTAATTAGATATTGTTTAAATGAATTTTTATTTAAATCGATCAGATTAAATATATTTTCAAAAACTGAATTTGCTACATTTGTGTCACTTGGTTTGCTGCTCACTAATAGAAAGATTCAATTTGAAAGTTAAATATCTTACGTTTTGAAAGTTAAATATCTTACGAATGGCAAAACGCTGGTGCGTGAGCGTTATAAGTGTTATATTTGAAGCAGTCACAACACATTGCTTTCAAATAGCCGATTTCTTGGATTAAAACTAAAATTCTTATATTTTGCCAAATGGCAATAATCTGGAGCGCTGAAGATAAAATGTTTTATTTTGAACAATGTTGCCACTTCTCGATTTCAAATTGCTGAGTTTCGTTAAATTTATAAAAAGTATGAAATAAATGAAAAACAAATTCGGGAGGGGAAAATAGGGAAATTCGTAGATATGCCGGTGGCCATAACACTGCCTCTAAAAATTTGATTTCCAAAAATATTCAATCGTTGGTTTAGAAAAGGGTGAAACATTAATCATAATTTTAGGATTCATGCAACAAAAAAAAAATAAATTGTTTGAAAATTTTTGGCGGGCACCTTTATGCAATTCGGAGATTAATTGCCAAAATAAAGGCGTTCACATGGGAGTCCCGGCGTATTGATGAATGCTGCATTTTTCATGATATAAGCTGAAAGTCGTAAGGATGTGTATCTTTGTGTCTTTACGTCGGAGTCCCCTTGTTGTCATGGCGAACCATGACCAGTTTGGTGCCCAAATGTTTCAGCAACTGACAGCCCCACCCAACTTTGTGATTAGTGTGTCATACTGAGGGATATAATGGATTGTCCTACGAATATGTACAGAAGCAAACAGTTGGTAAAAAAACGGAAATACGATTTAATTGTAATATGTTTAATGCTGTACTGTCCACGTCAACACTGCTTTGATTTACAGAGTATGAAAAAGATAGTTAATTTTCGTTCAATAATCTGAAATTCCGATCATTTGTACATCGTCCACCAAAAATATTCACTCATTAGTACATGAAGAAAATGAAAGCTTCGTCACAAAAGAATCGGGATTAGATTGAAAGAAATCGGGATTTTTGATGCAATACAGTTCGATTCTAAAGTTTATATTAACGGTTAAATCTAATTTGTAGTTCGTCAGAAAAAAAAGAACTCATATATAGCATCATAAAGTAGAAAGATCCTGCTAAGGAAGTGGGAGCGGTTTCCAGTCTTTTTGTAATTATTTCTGAGATTCAAAATTCAAAGGTTAAAGTACATGCTCCGAAAGTATGCAACTGCTGGCGGCGAAAGACAAGATTGATCGATCACATCTATTGTGATTTTCCATCTGAATCAAAAACAATTTCTGTTATAAATAAAGTTTTATATAACTAAGGGGTTTAACCATGTTTTTCTTCTTCGATATTTAGCGACACCATCTGAAGAAGAACTGATGCTTGCTTTCACAGCCCTGCCATCGAATATAGAACAAAAAGTTCTTGACTTAACTGGACTTATCCAAGCGAAGGCTAAACAACTTCGGTCCAAGCCGCAAGTCAGCTGGCTACCCTACCTTGAAAGTGGACTCATATCTTCACAAGATTATGCCTTTATTACTGCGTTTCAGCATTCTCAAACGAAAGAAGAGAGAGACAAGTTGCTGAATTATTTCAAGGTAAAATAAAACCTGCAAATAAAAATATACTTTTTGCCTTCGTAGCTAGAGACAACTTTTGCAGGTTCTGCCGATAATATTTTGGGGGATTACGTTATTTGAGGTGACGTTGAGTTATTCTTATAACAGATGTCGTTTATCAACCATGCATATGATTGGCAGTTTGGCTATTTTATACACGTGATTTAAAGTCTTAGATCTGTCTTCTAGACGAAATGGCTGAAAGCAAATATCTAGAGTATTGTCACTTAGGATGAGGTTGTATGTTTCATTTATATTTAAAATTATAACACTTTTGCTCAATGAATTACATAAAAGCAGCGCATATATTTTTAATAATTTAAATTTTTATTTTAACTTGTAATAATACTTTGTGCTGACATAATTTAATGTACATTTACTGTAAAATAAATCTAATAGGTTGTAGAGTCATTAGGATTATTTAGAAGCAGGATTCGTGAAAAATGAGCAACGCCCTCGCCGGGAATCGAACCACGGACCTCTGGAATACGCGCCCAGCGTGCAGACCACCACTCTACAAAGGCATGCTAAGATGGCGGGAGAAATACCTTATATCCCCCTTTTAAAGGGCGAGTGGAGTTTTCAGGGGACCCAATCGCCAAATCCTGGGTGTGGAAAATCATCATGCACCACCCTTTCAGTTCGGACGTCATTGTAGAGTCATTAGGATTACTTAGAAGCAGGAGTCGTGAAGAATGAACAACACCCTCGCCGGGAATCGAACCACGGACCTCTGGAATACGCGCCCAGCGTATCATTCGATCTTTAGAGTTTATCATTGGATTTTTTATAGAGTTTTATAAGACGCATTTTTAAGACTACAGTAGTTTTTTATGTTTCCCAAAGAGCTCACCAAGTTTAAATGCAGACAAAAGACTACTCTTATTTATTAAGTTGTTGAGACATTAGGTATTTTTGAAGCAGGAGTCGTAAAAAATGAGCAATTCCCTCTCCGGGAATCGAGCCACTGACCTCTGGAATACGCGCTCAGCATGCAGACCACCACACTACGAAGGCATGCTAAGAAGGCAGGAGAAATATAAGATAAAAGTGTAGAGTCATTAGGTTATTTTGAAGCAGTAGACATGAAAAATGAGCAATGCCCTCGCTGGGTCTCGAACCTGGTCCTCTCGAATACGCGCCGGCTGTGTTACCCTTACACTAAGAAGGCATGCTGGAAGGAGGGAGAAAATATCTTATACTTTCACATTATAAGGTAGGTAGGTATGGCACGGTCCACCCTCCTGGCAAGCCCAAGCTCGCCTTATGGCTTTTCTATATCGACCACGAAGGGAAAACATTCAGGGCAACAAAACATAAATAAATGAAGTCTCCAGCAGCAGCCATATTGGGTATTTCTTGTTGTTGTTCTATTTCTAGTGCAACTAGGTTTTTAATAATTCTTTCCGTGATCCCTTTTGCTATGTTTTTTACTTCATTTGCAGTATAAATCAGGTCTTTAAAGTCCCTCTTGCTACTCCTATGTTTTTTTTTGTTTGTTAATTCACATTCTTCCACATAGTACCTGTTATTTCCCAGCTTTCCTCATAGTAAACAGTTTTTGTTTTCTTGAATTTTATATTTGTTTAGGTAAGCTGGGAATTTACAGTTACCGGAAATGTTCTGACAAAGGTATTTATCGGGTTTTCATTTTTTTCGAGATTTCCAATTCGCATTATATTTTCTCCCTCTTTTCTGCATGCCTACGTGTTGTAACGGTTAGCACACTCGACACGTATTCGAGAGGTCCAGGTTCGAATCCTGGCGAGAACATTACATATTTTTCATGTCTCCTGCTTTCAAAATAACCTAATGTCTCTGCAACGTAATGCTTGTTTACTTAGATGTTAGTTATTGGAATTATTGCTATGCATACGTTAAGACACTTGCAGAAACAGTAATATAAAACTTTCACCATGAAATTATTAGCATATATTCTAGACCACAAAATTTTACAAATTATTCGACATCTCTCCTGAGATTTTTGTTTTCTTCTTCACAATGAAACAATTACCTTATTTTTAAGGAAAAAAAAAAAAAAAAAAAAAATCTTTCTAATCACTTATTAAATGATCTTTCTACAATATTAGTCTACTTAGTACGAGATGTACAGTCCTACGAATTCTAAAATTAAAATGACTTCCGCAGCTGATCAAAGAAAATAAATATCGCGAACCACAAATAAAGGAAACATAGGTTATGCTTTGCCGGAATGGTAACTTCAGAAAAATGTTTTATAGATTACATACAAAAATTGTATTTATAGTTTTATCATGGAGTAGTTATATGTATGTGCTTTAAAAAGTCTAAATAAAATTTATCCTAGTACTTACTTTATATCAATAACGATGAAAGCAGTACTCATTTTCGAATTCATTTTAGAATAATAAAACTCATTTATTCCATAAACAGCTCGTAATTGTCATATAAGTAACTAATATCGATTTCATTTACAGGGAAGAGTCTTCGACTCTCTTGTACGTATAGTACATCGAGTTTGTTTGGTCGAGGAAATACAGAAATTTCTAGTCCTCATCGACGATATGCTGTGGGAAGACACGACACGAGTCTCCCGTTTTAAACCTGAGGAGATGGAGCCTTGGAAAGCTTTCCTTGACCTACTCTCCTGTTCTGATGACTTCGTGAGAAACATGGCAAGTCGAATAATATCGAAATTTATAACCTATGATGAAAGTAAACCAAGCCTTGAAGATTTGAATTATTACTTTAGTTGGCTAAATCATGAGCTACAGCAAGGTAACATATATCTTCAATCCGTTGCAAGATGTCTTCAACTGTTGCTTAGTCGCGATCAATACCGAGTGCCGTTCATGAAACTGAATGGCATACACAAAATTATCAGACTTTTGTCCATGGGAGTAAAGCCGCAGGATCAGTACCAGCTTTGCTTTTGTCTTTGGGTGACTTCATTCAACCCTTACGCAGCAGAAAGAATTAACCGGTAAGTCAACGCAAATTTTGTACAGCAGACTTTTAGTAAATATCTGTACGGACATATGTCAGATTACACTCGCTCCCTGGCACTTCTAGATAACAATAATAAATATAAGGGCTTCAAGTACAATATTATTAAAAACTGATTATAGGTTTCGGTAAAGCACGAACGTGATAGAAATAGAACACCCGCTTGATGTTAGAAGGTAAGAAGCGTAAAGGGGAAGCAGGAATGCATATGGAAGACAGTTGGTTCAAACCTCAATGAAAAATCAGACTTAACAAGTTGAGCAAAGAATACTTTTCAATCGATTTTCACTATTAAATATCATTGGTGTTATGCAGTGCATCTCATAGCTCTCATCGAAGAAAAGATAGCGCTCCAAATACAGGGTGTTTCAGCACAGCGGTTACAAACTTTCAAGAGACGATATAGTACACCTAGACGATGGAAAATCAAGTGACAATGCACGGTCAGAAATGATTTCATGACGTGGTAGTGACGACGCAAAACACAAGAAAGGAAGGACATGAACAACCATAGCCCGCGCACAGTCTTTGCAGCCCCGAGACGATTTTAAATTTATGTATGGGCTGGCATCGTTGGGGAACAGCTCGTTGGGCTGTAGTTGTTACTAGCGTCTGACAGGTGTAACTCATCTCATCTTTCTTGAGAAAGTATTGCCGCAGCTACGCATTGCGGTCCGGTGCACTGGCCAGCAAGTTTGCCAGACTTCATTTGCACTGACTATTTCCTCTGGAGGTACATCAAAACACTGATGTACGAAGCCTCCTTTAACACTTGTGAGAAACTTGTTCCACGTATCAGGGCAGCTGCTGGGGAAGTCCGGGACACGCTAGGTATTTTCCAGGACATCATATCTTCCATGCGCCGCAGATGTGAGGCCTCCATCACGCCCCGGGGTCGTAATTTCGAACACCATCTTTGATAACAATCGTTGTCTGTTTTTGTTTCTTGGTTTCTACTCTACTAAGCATAATAAACATGTTTTATCGCTTTGTTCGTGTCCTTTCTTGCTTGTGTTTTGTGCTGTTACTATCGCGCCAGGAAAGCATTTTCGACCATGCATTGTTATGTGATTTTCTATGGTCTAGGTGTATTCTATCTCTCCTGAAAGTATGTGTAACCGCTGTGCTGAAGCACTCTATATATCGCGTCTAGACAGCTATTTTTTACATGATCGGTTTAAGCATACAGCTAATGGAACGATGAGCTTCAGCGTCGTGTGGTCCCGAGCTGTAAATTCGGCAGTCATGAAGCAGAGCAGTTAATGACAGCGGCCTTTACAGGAGCCTTTTTTTTTGTCGAATATCGTTACTAACACCGAACTGCAGAGACAAAGAGGAACTAACTGACAATAATAATTACAGATAGCACCCGACGTCCAAATTCCAAAACCAATGGCTACAACACTAACATTTTTGTATCCACACGCCCGGTTTTGATAATCTTTCAGGAAACTTTCTTAATGGTATAACACTTCGTAAACGCAAAAAAGGGTCGAAAAGAAAATATTGGAATAAGCATTCAGGAGGAATGTTATATATCGATGCATCATAATTATAAAGTTATCGCAGACTTTTGAATTTCACACGACTGCGAGAGCATTTTAAAGCTTTTAAGGCCATAAAAGGCCATAAAAGTCATCGAAAGGCCTTTTAAGGCCTTTAATTTAAAGCCATAAAAGGCTTTTAAGAACCTTTTAAGAAATGTGAGAGTTTTTTCTCAGAATCGTACATGTCGCAATCACCGCAAAATCAGGAAAGATGAGGGTGATTTTATTGCGCATTTAGAGAGCTGCTTAAGTTTTACTAAAGTCTGAAATAACAGTCCAGTGATTAAATGTTTTCACACTCAACATGGTTTCTAAAATATATGTAATAATAGGGAAACTAAAAAGGTATACTACGTTTACCAAAAGTTTGTGGCTGTCAAAATAAATAATTTTGGTATGATATTGGGTCTGCCGACGGTTTGGTCCGGAAAAGCTTTATACCAAACAAAGAACTGCTTAATCGCTGGAGGGCAAGAAATTTCTGGTTTCATGTTCGGACGGATTAATATTCTGGTTCTGCGAAGGCCACTGCGTCTTCCCTTTCTAATGTTTAGGAAAGTGATGTGGCATTAATAGCGTCAATCTCTCTTTAGTAGCATAAAACGCAGACTCTACGTAGAAGACGAAATAGTGAATACTCGTTATGCCTTTGAAGAATAAATACTGCAGAAGGCTTCATATAATTTTTTCTTTAAACTAAATTAACACAGATGCACGCACTTGGTGCTCACTATTCACCACTACTTATGGCTAACTACATTAACAGAAAATAAAAATGTGAAATGCACACAAACTAAAGGCTAAATCGGCTACACACAGCAAAGCCGAGCCTAGAAACATCAGTATAAACTGACAGGTGTCTAACACCGACTTCAGAGCTAAATTCAAACACGCAGCATGAACTCGAACTTAAGTCCGACTACAACTCTCGAATTCTTGAAACGCAGCTTACATACTGCTTCTGAAACACGTTTAGATTAGTATACTACGTCATTTAAAATTTTTATTCCGGCAGGAAACTGAAATCGGGAGAGAAAGGAAAGGAAAACCAAAAATAATTGGTTAGAATAAAATAAGATCCTTACAAAATTGTGCGCACATCATAACTCTCGTACAGGAAATAAATAACAACATTTGCAGTATGTGAGCGGGCTCTGTCTTTCATGAACCACTGAATGCCTAACGAGAAATGTGTTACAATTTTCAAGTGTCGGGACACTTGATGGGCGCCATCGATTCTTCTCCAACCCAGCGCCAATGGCTTCCAACTGTTGATACAATCTATGAACAGTCTGTTTGCAATAATCCCACTTTGTATCAAAGTTTGAAAAAAAAAACGTCTTTATGTCGCCGCCATGCTCCTCATATCTTCATAAGATATTAAAGATTTTCCCTTCTATTCATAATTGAACCGGCTGTTATCCGCCATCTTGCAAATTCCTGTTTCACCCGAATATGCGCTTTAACATCCAGTATATGATATTGAACACTATATGAGGTGATTGAATGGCATGTGGTTTAGCCACTCGGAACGAGTTATTAACACTTTTACGAAAAACAATGGTTTGCTTGACTGTTTGATATTACTTTGAAATAAATTAATAATTTTCAAAACGTTTCTTGAAGAAGCTTGATCTACAGTTGTAGAGATATTAGGTTATTTCGAAGCAGGAGACGTGAAAAACGTGCGCCGAGAGTTGAACCTCGGACCTCTCGAATACGCGCCTAGCGTGCTGACCAATACACCACAAAGGCTTGCTAAGAAGGCGGGGAAAATATCTTATACGGTAAGAATGTATTTAAAAATTAATGCATAATTTTTTTCAGATTCTTTTATTTAGAATTTCTTTATGTCAGTACCAATTTTAAAAGATGCAAATTAAACTTATTGTCATATACTAACTTGCGACATGGGCTTTTTCTGTTATTATCATAAGCCTCCAAGACTATTTTATTCCTACTTTCGAAATACTGCAGACATACTCCTGAGAGTTTAATCATGAATCTTGTGTACTTATTTGGCTCCAGTACGGTGACATAGCCACAAGGGACCACCATCCATTGCTCCCCTAAAGTATCCAGCTATTTCTATCACAAGAATAAAGAAAAGAAACCGAGGTTTTAAAATTTCAGCTACTTATCAGTCTCCATGACATTTTATTTTAGAAACTGAAGACACATCACTGAAAAAGCGATTTTGCATCAACTTTTAAAGAATGAAAAAAAATGTCTCACACTTAACACATACACTTCCTGAAAAAATTATTGGAGTGAAAAGGATTAAAAGTTTTCGAAAATACTCCATCGGAAATGATTTGCTTGATTTGCGTTTTATTTCTATTTATATGCTTATATTTCTATCTTCCTGAGAATAATGGAAACATTTCGAGCATTTTTAACGGCAATAAGAAGAGACTTAATCGGCCCATGCCACAATTCAAAGAACTGTCTTGAATTCCAAGGTATTTTTGGAGCAATCATTATGGAGATTACATTAGATATCCTTCCATTTGAAATCCCAATTTAAAAACTTTTAAAAATGAAAGTTTGTCTGGATCATATCTGAGTTCCTTACAAAAAGAGTCGATTGTAATATTAATAATAGTCTTAATCTTAATAATTTAAAAGAGGAGTTTTGGGATGGTTTTTATTTAGTCACATAAACATGAAGTGACTGGTGTATTAACTCAAAATGTAGCGCATAAATAGGTAATGAATTTATTTAGAATACATACCACCGGTCATTGAAAGTTTTAATAATATTCATGACAGATTTTCGAATTATTGTTGAAGTACCGCTATTCAGTAATGAAATATCTATAAACTTTTAGCCTGTCAGTGAATTCAGCATCTTCTTCAAATTTATTGCAAAGGAAAATTAATATGAAACACAAGCAACAAAATTAGTTCTTGAAATTGCATCATTTGGGCAGCAAAATATGAAATGCATATTTTAACCTTTTTGGGATATATTTGCTACACGAATTCTTTGAAATTTTAAGTGATCAGTGACAGACATCAGTAAATATTATAAAGAGTTCTACTCGTATTTTGAATGTTTTTTCTGTCTCTTTATTTTCATGGACTCTGTCATAGATACTCCTTTATAGATGAATAACTCCATTAGTATTTAATAAAATTTTATTTAGAAAAATTCAAGATTTTGGAAGAATACTCATGACATTATATTTTATTTAATTACTGATACATTTTTTAAATTTTAAAATAATTTTCAAACAGAATTTGTTGAACGTTTCAAAAAGAATGAACACATATGCTAAAATGTTATAACGATTTCTTGAAAACATTTTTTCCAATTTTTTTTAACTGCTACCATGGGTTTAAGATACACATCTGAAACTTTAAACCATAACCGAAACTGTGATATATTTGCTAAATTTGTTAAACAAAATGTCTCTTTTTCTGTTAA